AAAAAAAAAAAATAGAATTACTCTTCTGGCCATTGAAAACACTTGGTAATGTTTAAAGGGGGATTATATGATCGTTCTAGTATTTGCTCACAGGGAAATGATTACTGCTGTCCATTTGTAAAACAGAGAAAAGAAATACCTTTGGAAACAATTATTTTAGACGTAAAGAAATTGTTTCTGGCTGGGCATGGTGGCTCACACCTGTAATCCTGGCACTCTGGGAGGCTGAGGCGGTTGATTGCCAGAGATCACGAGTTCAAGACCAGCCTGAGCCAGAGCGAGACCTTGTCTCTAAAAATAGCCAGGCATTGTGGTGGGCACCTGTAGTCCCAGGTGCTCGGGAGGCTGAGGCAAGAGAATCGCTTAAACCCAAGAGTTTGAGGTTGCTGTGAGCTCTGATGCCATGGCACTCTACTGAGGGTGACAAAATACAACTCTGTCTCAAAAAAAAATGTTTCTATTAAGGTAGGCATTTTGACCTAATAGAGCAACCTAACTTTACACATTGTTTTGCCTAAACCCAGCCAGCAACTTGAAGTTGTCATTGTGTGTCGTGGCTTCCTGGGAACCTAAAGGTGAATCTTCCCACCATCACTCTTAAAGCTTTCTGTGCCTCCTCCTCTGGGCCTTTGCGTATGAACCACTTACTTTTCTCCATAGGGAAGCTAACAGAATCAGATTGCTACTCATGGATGCAGTCTGGGACAGGGTACACTGTTGCCTTTGCCTATAAGGACACAGATTTATCAGGATAGGGTAGAAGCCCCATAAGGTATGTCCCTTTGACACAACCTTTCTACCTGGTTTTGCTGGTGCTTTTGCCAAGATGTTCAAGACAGCTGACACACTTGAAAATTATACAGTCTCCAGATAGACTGGTGGGAAGACCGAATGCCCATCTTTGGCAGTGTCTCGGATCAGAGGTTCCCCATGCCTACTCTAGGAAAGTGAAACTTTTTCAGAATAAATCCTCAAATGGATTATTGAGAATGCTTTCCTTTGCTCCCATCAGTCTACTAAGGCTTAATCATAATGCTTATTGCAAAAAGGTGTCTTGTCAAGTTGTTTCAATGTTTCCAGTCTTTTGTAGAACACTTCAGTTGTTCAAAGTTAGTATTTCAGTCTTGACCAGTGTAAACCCACTTAATTATTGTAGCCTAAAGAATCTAGCTACTTCTATTCTTCATTCAGGTGCCCAAATAAAGATGTGTTTGTGCATATTCAATCTTGGCAAATTATTAATTCAGACAATAAAAGCTCATAACTTTCTGGTGTCATGTTCATATTGTGGACAAACATATTTTACTAACATAGGCCTAGCACTCTTGATGAGAGTGCTCAGGTTGAAAAAGGCAGGTCTCTCACCAATCCAACATCTATAGCAACATGATAAAAGTTCTCATCTCATGTTTCACTTTCAGTAGTTTGATGTGTGTTGTGATCCAGAAGGAATGAGTTAGAATTTCTATTTGAACCACATGGGATGGGTGGAATAAGGGACTGCTTACGCTAATAGTGGAGTGATTATGGAACAGAATGTCTCTATAAAATGAGAAGTTTTTTCCTTACATCATAGAATCATTCTTTTTTTTTTTTTTTTTTTGCAATTTTTGGCCAGGGCCAGGTTTAGAACCCACCACCTCTGGTATAGGGGGCCAGC